CCCCCCCCCCCACTTCCAGTCCTTTGAATTCTAAAATTTAGCCCCGCATTTGCCCTGGATACATGGATCTAATTCGTTGATTAAAATTCCTGCAACGATCGTCTAGATCAGATCGTTAACATATTTGTGTGATTCGGAATTTTTGCGGATTTTCCAAGCCTCGGTATTCACTCCCTCCCCCAAGCTAAGCACTAGAGGGATAGCTATTTAAAAAATTATGTACTTTAAAAAAGTTGAAAAATTTAAAAGTGAATAGAAATAGTTGTTAAAATTACAGGTGGCTGATATTTTATTGAGGTTTGTGGTGGGAGGGGCAAAGGGGCGTTCCTATTGTCTGTATATGTAGGCGTGTCAATCTGGTGTATTGTCATGATCTAGGATTTCATGTTAGTTCTTGTGTCGGTTCATTTGATTCCATTGCATTCTTGGAACATATTCACCATACCTTATCAGGGGGCAGGGTTACCCCCACCTATACCTTCTGGAATTTTACCCCCTGTCGCAACGTCTTCGTGTGAGCACGTAGATCTCAAATTCTTGAAATTGTCCAAGCGTGCGTCCGTTTCTATTCAACCCTTTTCCAAATACACATTGGCGCATTTCGGTGCATGGGCGTTTCTTAGGGATTATTTGTCTCGTTTTATTCGACATCACGGCCATTTTGTCAGTCTCTTATTCGACATCACGGCCATTTTGTCAGTCTCTTATTTATTTAATGAAGATAGAATTTTGATGGAGACAAATATTTGAAATTTTGATCATTCATAAACCTTCCCTGGGGTCCCTGGATGTCCCACAAAAAATTTGGGCCCGATCGGTTCAGGCGTTTTGACGTTTATTGGATACAAACAAACAGACAGACAAACAAACAGACAGACAAGCCAAATTTATATATAGATTAGAAGTTCAACACCTTAGCTTTTCAATCAAAGGAGCTATGATAGAAAACAAACGTAGAAGATTTCAATCTTTCCTGCAATACACTTAGGTTAGAAGTGTACAGATGTAACAAGAAAACATTGGAAAAATTATCTTTTTTGTCCATTTTTATTGCATGAAAACTTGATCATGAAAATGTAATAATGTATTTTAAACTTTTTAGATTTTAGACAATTTACTAAATTATAACTTCCTTAACCACATTTTTTAATATAAGATGGAATTAGGATAATTGTAACTCGATGTTTTCTGTTTACTTCTGCATTATAAATTGGAACATATGTGTAGAGAGGTAAAAATAGAGCATTCCAACGTTTTTAGTATTATTATTTTCCTTGTACTAAATAATTGTGTTAAGGGAGTGTGATCGAAAAATTAATGTGGCCGTGGGTATAGGATTACGGCAAAAAATAAGCGCTTTTGATTGCTAATAATCTTAATTCTGTTGTGTCTATAAGGAGAAAATTGTTAAAAACGACTCATGCTGAAGAACGCAGCGTCCATTCAAATTCAGAATAAAACTGAATGTTGTGAATTTCTGAATTTGTATAGACGCTACGTTCTTAAGGATGAATTATTTCGCGAACACTCCCTTTAAACAACGAAATGCGTGATTTTGAGGTAAAATTACGCAAAAACTGAGATTAAGATTAAAATAAAAATTTTATCAATTTTCTTTATTGTCTCTGTTGCACAAATCCTCTCGTCACTTCCATAAAAATCAATCATCATTTTAAAGATATGAAAACAAGGATAACTCAATCAACTTTTACATGAAATCGGAAATGGAACTCTTTAAATGGGTGTTGTATGAAATTATGAAGTCAGTCTCTTTAAAAAGTCTTTAAGAGTGATATAAGTTACTAAAATAATCACATAAATCAACCATGAGAGGAACAAACACATGAAATATGAAAATAAATGAAAAAGTAAATGCAATTCTGATCAAATGAATGAACGAATATTGAATATTTTTTAGTTGACATAAATCCATTGTTTTCATTGAAAATATATAAAATGGATAAATCATTTTCGTTTTTAACTCAGCAAAAGCCTCATTAGTCTAAAAAATGTTTTTCGATACATTCTAGACATTAAATAAAATATGGTTTTCGATACATTCTAGACATTTAATCAAATATGGTTTTCGAAACATTCTGGACATTTAATCAATTATGGTTTTCTATACATTCTAGACATTTAATCAATTATGGTTTTCGATACATTCTAGACATTTTTTCAAATATGGTTTTCGATACATTCCAGACATTTAATCAAATATGGTTTTTGATACATTCTGGACATTTAATCAAATATGGTTTTCGATACATTCTAGACATTAAATCAAATATGGTTTCCTATATTACATAACAACTCGTTAACAAATATATTTTCTTTGATAACAGCTAGGAAGGGGCTTTAATTTCAATGTTTCAAATTACAGGGTTACCCACAAAGTATGAATCTGCAAAGACGACCTGAAACTCTTTAAATATGACAGTTCCAAGGTTGAATAGTAATTGTATGGCTCATTGAATTATTTGAAAAGAACTGAACAAGTTTGAAGTTGCTGAAATGTTATGTTTAGGTTTAGAATTTCGATCGAAAACCCGCTATTTCATTGAAAACTCTTAAAATAGGATTTATGAACGGGAAAATCAATTATAAATTGTAATCATTATAAATCAATGCTAAGCTACAATTCATACAATGTTTGTAAATAAAAGGATTATCAGAATATATTTATTGTGTTCATTCTCACCATGAAAGACAAGACAAATGCATTTTAAAAGGAGTATTGTGACAAAAACCAGTCATTCCCCCTTGCCCCCCTAGAATACCCCACCTTGAGGGGGGTTGGGTGTCGGAGAATTAGAATCAATTACAATATTTCATCTGCATTTTATTAATTAATAATTTCATCATCTTTTAATCTCTGCACCTTGTTGATTTACTAAATCTTATTTCTTACATAGTTTTTACTTAATTTTTTTCACATTTCGCTTATTTATTTTATTCATTTTATCTTTAAAATTTCATTTGTACATTTTCTTAAATAAGTAAAAAAGTATTTAATTAATTTTGTTGTTGTATCTTAATAAAGTAAATTAATCAGTCTGCTACAATTAAGTATACTGCAGTGCAGTTTTTTTTTGGCAGATTAAAGTCCCCATAACCAACCTAAAATATTCCACTGTGCCCCCCCTCCCCTCCATTGGTTAAAATCTGGCAAACAATAGTAAGGGTTTATTTTAGTGTGCCAGGTTTGAGAGTATTGTTTAACTCTGTTTGTTCTCAGTTAGGGTTCATGTCTCTAGTGTGTACCGAAATATGTAAAATTTTAGAAACATTGGTGTACCGACATATGTACAATTTTAGAAACATGGGTGTACCGAAATATGTACTTTTTTAGAAACATTGGTTTACCGAAGTATGTACAATTTTAGAAACATGGATGTACCGAAATATGCACAATTTAGAAACATCGGTGTACCAAAATATGAATGTACTATTTTTGAAACATTGGTTTAACGAACAATGTACTTTTTTTGAAACATTGATGTACCAAACTATGCACTTTTTTAGAAACAAGGGTGTACCGAAATATGTACTATATTAGAGACATGGGTCCACCGAAATATGAATAATTTAGAAACATCAGTGGACCGAAATATGAACAATTTAGAAACATGAGTGTATATGTACTATTTTAGAAACATATGGGTGTACCGAAACTTGTAATATTTTAGAAACACGGGTGTACGGAACTATGTGCTATTTTAGAAACATATGTGTTCCGAAATATGTACAGTTAAAAACAAAGCTTTTATTGACGTGCACCGAAATATCTATGAAATATGAACGACTTTGAAAATAAATTTTTATTGGGGGTGCATGATTTTAGATAAACAAACAAACATTTCACTAAATGGAGAAGAGCAAATTATCTTATTAGCATCAATTCCGACATGTTTTTTTGTACTTTAATCACATAACGACATAATGGCTTAATTTGACATAATAACCAACTAAATGACATATGTTCTAAACAACTGCAGGACGCTTGAATGACTCCATGTACTTTTCCTGGAAAATTACTTTTATATTTTTAAGACGGTGTAAAATTTTCAAGTCTCCTCGACCTCACAATACTGAATTATGCATATTTTGGATTGAAGTTTCCCGTTTTAAAATTCTAAATTCTGAGGCAGATTATAGGAAAACATGTTTTCTGTTTCAAGTTGATTTAGTAGTTGTGTTAAACTAGGTTCACCATTATACAGTACATTATCCGCCATCTTGTTTTACTTGTAAACAAGATGGCGGATTCTGGATTCAATGAGTTCAATTAGAATATTTTTTCATGGATATATTTACCTATTCATAGATATTCATACATTTGGTTTTGTTACAAATATTTTTTTTTTCTTTGAAGGGGAATGAATTATAATGTTGTGTTGACATTTAAAAATTGTTCGATGTAAAAAATTTGAAAAGATTTTTGTGTAGTTATGCAAAATGTGAGACATGTACAAATAAGATAATTGCAGATAAACCAAATTTACAAAACTTAGGAATAATATTCTTTTCCTTACTACGATACTTTTTTAAATGTATATTTTAACGTTTAAAAAATGAGTAATTTTCTAAATTTGAGAAATTAAGAAAATAAAAAAGATTTATATTTTAAATATTTTGCTAAAACGTTAATGCGCACAAACAAATATCTGCAAAAACATCGCAAAAATTAGATTTACTTCCTTGAAATGTATATTTGCATGGAATGAGTGCAAAAAAAAAATTTTATTTCCGTTTCGTAGTCAATTAGTGACAATGTTTTTACACCTTTTTTACAGGGCTAAATAGTGGTGTTAAAGAAGTTTCCAGAACCCCTCAATTATATATTAAGGATTAATTAAGTTTCTATCCGCCATGTTTTCTGTTTCGTCTCAGCGACGCCATCTTATTTTTTTCCCTTGATTGTTTTGTTTGGTTCAACCTTTGTGTACAATAACAAAGGCTGTGCAACAAATACAATTCTCATTATTTCTTTCATCTTTTTTTAATCATTACATCACCATCTTAGAACAGAAGGAGTAGGAAATGGAAGGGGGAGGGAGAGGGGGGGAGGTTTTTTTCTTCTCTCTCTTTGATGATGTTTACAAACTTTGTAACTA